GGGGGGGGGGGGCAGAGTCTCCCACTCCACCGCCCCAGCTCAGGACAAAGCCTCTTCCTTCTAGCCGCCAGCAGCCCAGGCCGGGCGGCAACGCCAGAAGCTGGGGGCAGAAGGAAGCAGGCCAGGAAGAAGCCGCTGGGGGCGGGGGCGACGCTCCCAGCCCTCAGTCCCCATCACTCGCCGGAGCCCCCTCGGCTGCCCCCGGATTCTGGGCATACAGTAGCCGGGGCCCCAAGGAGAAATAGGGGTGCCACCGCCTCCGCGGGTCTGGCGGGGCGAAGGGGAGGGGACATGGGAGGGTCCCGGATCTGGCAGCTGGAAGGCGCGGGCCGGTGCCGCGCTGCAAAGCGCAATGGGCCTGGCCCTTCGGCCCCCACGACCTCCATTTTGCCCAAAAGAAAGCTAGGCGTGGGGTGAGGGCGCCCAGGAGCTGGGCTTGAGGTTAGGGCTAGTAGAGGGAGCAGGGTGCCGAGGTCTCCGGTCTAGGGTAATATGGCCAGAAAACACCGACAGAACCCAAGGGTTCTGAGGGTAGGGTGGAGGCGAAGGGAAGGGTGGCCTCGCGGCCTTGCCTGCCTCTCTGAAGATTCTGGAGTTTTGCAAGGCGAATACCGCCAGAGGTGCAAAGAGGACACGAGGGGTGCTACCCAGGGGCAAACGAGAGGGCGGTGATGGGTGGGGGGGAAAGGGGGCGGGACGGGGCCTACAGAAAGCCCGGAATTTGGCCCCCAAACTTCTCAGGGAGCAAGAGGCAGGAGGGGCTGCGACAGGGTCTGGGGTCAGGCAAAACGCCTCGGACCGTGCAAGGAGCGCGTGCATTACTGGGAACAAGGGTCCCCCCCCACCCCAGTTCCCCTTCCGGGTTTGGGAGCGACGGAGCCAGAGGAAGGGAGGGGAGGTCTAGGGTGTTACGTCCGCTCCCGAGAGGCCAGACCAGGAGACAGAAGGAAGAGAGGTTCCCCCACGGAAATTTGGGGCTGGGGGAGAGAAGGACTCCTTTTGCCAGCGGAGGTACCTGTGGCGGTGGGACTCTGCGAAGGGTCGCTAGAGCAGCGCGGGAGGTCCTGTCTTCCTCCGCGGCGGAGGCGGCAGCGGCGGCGACGCGGATGGATTTCCTCAGTCACCCCAACTCAACCGTCCAGCGCTGCTCTCCCCAGAGCGGAGGGATCCCGCCCGCCAGTGACGCGGCCGTCGCCGCCGCGCCCAGGGCCCGGCTGGGCGAGACCAATTCCTTAGTGGGGGGAGGCCAGAAGGCAAAAGACCACTTAAGGGGCAAGAACTAACCCCGTCACAACAAAGATATCACACCACACTATTTCGACGCAAAACGGACCAAAAAGAACGCTTCGTTTTCTGAAAAGGAGCAGGACATTCCCCCTTGGACTGGAAGAGATGGTATCGGCACGGGGGGGCGGGGGGGGGAGAAACCGCTCTCTGGTCACGTGACCCACCCTCCCGGATTGGGCGGCTCCAGACTGGGTAGGGGAGCTTGACGCCCCAGTTCTGAGTTCGGCACGCCCCTGCTCCAGTGAGACCACGCCCCTCCGAGGTTCAGGACAGAGCTCGAGAGATCCCTACCCGCGCGGGACGGAGCAGTCGGCCTTGAGGCTGCAGAGGGACGCTTCTGAAAGTCCCCGAGGAATGGTGCGGGACCCTGAACCTGAAAATGATGAGAGGAGCCATCCATGCCCAGGAAGTTCCCCAGCGTTGCCCCCTGGGCTTTTGTAGAACTCTACCGGGCTGTATGACACTGTAATAACAACTCCTATTTTTTGAGGTCCATACTTATTTAGTCCTCACGACAGTGCTGTGAATTTAAGTACTGGCATTGTCCCCATTTTATAGTAGTGGAAACAGATTCCTAGGGCTGCAGAGTTGAGATATGAACCAGGGTGGCTTTAGCGACTTAACGTGCAGGGATACCAATACTAACCTCTTGAGTAACCCTCCAGTGGACCCTCCCTGTAAAGGAATGAGAATGAAAGTGTTGCCTTCCTGTCTGCCCTGCAAGTCACGTTGGATTGTTATGAGAGTCTGACGGATTGTGGACATGCTTTGGAAGGTTCAAGTCACCAAATAGCCTTCATTGAGTCCTCATCCAATTGAAAAGTGAAAGTATCAAAACAGACACTTCTTATAGGCATTACAAAAAGTTTTCACAGCACACTATTTTTAAGAAAATAAGAAAACAAAGTCAGTCTTATGCACAAATCCCATGTATGTGCCCTCACCAGTTCAAGGATATATTAGCAGTAGATGATAGATGTCAATTAGGCATTAGCATTTGGAAGGGACCTTACAGGTAATTTCCTCCAGTTTCCTCTCAGTCTACAGATGGACAAAGTGACTTCCCCAAAGTCACTTAAAAAACTGGTAGCCCAGAGGCACCTTGGTGGCTAAGTCGGTTAGTTCGGCTCAGGTCATGATCTCATGGTTCATGAGTTCAAGCGCCACATCAGACTCACTGCTGTCAGCACAGAGCCCACTTCAGATCCTCTCTCTCTCTTTCTCTGCCCCTCCCCCACTTGTGCTCTCTCAAAAATAAATAAAACATTAAGAAAGAAAAGAAAAGGAAAGAAGGAAGGAAGGAAGGAAGGAAGGAAGGAAGGAAGGAAGGAAGAAAAAACTGGCCGCCTAGGACTAGAACCCAATTTTATTAATCTCTGTAGTACATCTGACAGTGCTTCCTCTTGCTTTGCTTTCCATGCTAATACGCTTCTTTGAATTCGTTCAGCAAATATTCACCTAAGTCCCAATGATGCATCAGGCACCGTCCTGGGCACTGAGGATATGACCATGAACTGTGAACCCTCCTCTGCCTGCAGGGAGGTTATAATCTACAGAGGAGGCAGTGGTAGATGATCGTTGGAATGACGATCAGTGCTGGTGGCTTGGAAGTGCATTGACTAAGAGCAGAACACTGGCGGGGGGAGGGTGGAGATCAAAAATTTTAAGTTGAGACATGTTAGGTTTGCAGTGCCTAGGAGAGGTGCTCAGAAGAATACTCAGAGGGTGGTTGTCAATGCAGGTCTGGGGCTCCGCAGAAGAGTATGAGTTGGAATAGAGCCTTAAGAATGAGTGGCGTTTTAGAGCAGATGAAGTCATAAAGAGGTTCAGGGAAAAGACAAGATGGCCTAAGACCAAGCCCTGAGGAACTCCAACATTAGAGGTCAGGCAGAGCAGAGGAAGCTGCCAAAGAAGAAGCCAGAGAGCTAACAGGAAAATCAGGAGAATGTGGAGTTCTGGAACCCAAAAGAAAAGAATGTTCCAAAAAGGGAATGGTAAAACTGTTTTGAATGCTGCAGAGAGATGAGGCAAGCCTGCACTGGGAAGTGTGCATGACATTGAGAAACAGGCAGGCCGTGAGTGACTTTGTCAGGAGCCCTTGCAATGAATGCTTTTCCTGCAATAGGTTGAGGGTGAGAAATGAGGCAGTGGAGACAAAGTGGCCAAAGCTCTGAGAATCTTGTCTTGGAGGGGGTGTACAAAGGTGGGGCAGTGGTGAGAGGAGAATTTGAAATAAAGGTATTTGGGTTTTGGTAGGAGCTTCTTTAGATGATAATGGGAAGGATGGGGTTTGGGGGAGGAGAAGGATATACAGGTAGCCAGTGGACGACCAACTTCTCTGAGAAAGCAGAAGCCCTAGAGGACATGTGGAGACACTGACTCTCACGAGTCATGGGACACTTCCTCCTTCCTCTAACTCTTCTTTCTCAGGCTTCTCCTTGGTCCTCTCGTCCTCCTCCGCAGGGCATCTGTAAACATAGTTTCTACAGGATCCCAACGTCAGCCTCCTTTTCTCACTGGTGACTTCCTCTATTACTGTGACTTTAACTATCCCCTAATTGCTCATACCTCACAAAGCTCCGTCTCCAGCCCAGATATCTCTCCCCAGATGTAGACTTGGTGTATGTCCAACTGCAGCCTGAATATCATCATCTGGATGTTCCCAGACAGTGGTGGGCTGGAGTCAGCTTGTGCCAGTTCAGACCAGCTCACAAGAGCCCAGAGTGCACCTCTCTTCCCAACTCCTTGTTTAGTGAAGTCAGGTTGATTAGCAGTAACTTTTAATTGTCAGGGTGGGAGTAGTTACACCATGGAAATTGGGAGTTGCTTCAGATCAGAGCTGCCTTTGCCTGAAGGGCTGATTGTTAAAACCTTTACTACACACCTCTGATCACAAACATGTCACATTCAACACATTCAAAACTAAATTAATCCTCTTCTACCCCACCCCACCCTGCCCAACCCTGCCCTTTCTCTGAATCTCCTGGCCTAGTTAACAGTGTCACTATCCCCTCAGGAGCTTCTCACTCCCTCATTCCCCATATCCAAAGGTGGTCAAGTTACTGTATAGGCCAAGCTGCTATAACAAAGAATCCCAAAAATTCAGTGGCTGAAGAGATCACTTTAAAATAGATCCTCCAGGACTGTGGGGACATCTCTGCCATGCTGAACCCTAGCTTCCATCTCCGTGTCTATTGGGCCCCAAGCAGCTTCCACAATCATACCTGAATTTCGTCCATTGGGAAGGGGGGTTAGGGTGGAAAGAACAAGTTCTTTCCTGCTAAGCAGAAGCACTAACTTCTGCTCAGAGGTTGGCCAGTTGCAAGAAAGGTGGTCTTTCGTCATACACACAGCTAAAACGGTATTAATAAAGAAAAAAGGGAGATGGCTGGTGATATAAGGCTAGCAATCCATGTCACTGGTGGCTAAATCTTGTCAATGCTACCTTTTGTATATTGCTGAAATCCATCCCTTCTACGGTATGCCAAATGCTATTACCCTGGTTTTTGCCTATATCCTGTCCTCTAGGACAGTTCCTCTCTATTCATCTACCAAATAGCTGCCAGACATATCTTTCTAAAATGCAAATTAGATCATATAACTTTGCTGTTCAAAACCATGCATTAGTTCCCTATTGGTTCCAGGAGAAGACCCAAACTTCTTTGCATAACACACAGGGCTGGGTCTTGTCCCCTCTCAGAATGGCTTCCACCCCAACTCCAGTTCTATTTCCTTTTCAGCTGGGGAAATCCAGTTTATTTTCTCAAGCTTCTTTTGAATATTGCCTCCCTGACCACACTGTTGTCTGTGCCCCACTGCAGTGCTGGCTCTGTCCCTATTGCAGCCTTTACTGGACTGTTTATTTCTGGGCCCTTGCCACCTGCACTAGGCAGGGGCTCCCTGTGAAGCCAAGACACTTGATTTATCTGGCAGAG